TGGGGTCCGACAAACTAGAGTAGAGGTCTTGGTAGAAAGAAAGGATGAACGCCTCAATGTCTGGAGGTGAGGTTGATCGAGGATGGAGTTGCCCACCTTGAGAGTGGATATCATATTGTCCCGACGCCAGCAATTGGCAAATCGGTGGAAAAAGCCAGTGTTTTGGTCTCCATGGCAGAGCCATTTGACCCTAGATCCTTGGACCAATAAATTTCTTCTTTCTTGAGAGTGGAGAAGCACTCCAATTTGCGTTGGGTTCTAAGGTTTTGTCCAGCTGTAGACAGGGAGTGGGTTTCTTCAAGGCTAACTCTTGGATGTTGGCCAGGTGAGAGTTTTTAAGATGAGAGAAATCTCCTGGGATGGTTCTGCTTCAGGTTTTGAAAGAAGCTTTTAGGCGTTGAATTTTAGTTTGAAGGATATACCCCGCGCTACACGAGACTAAGGGTGAGAACAACTCCCCCCACTGGGGAATAAGAGAAGACACGGATGGTTCTTCCAACCAAGAAAATTCGAACCGGAATGGTCTAGGGCCTCTCAAAGCAGGAGGATGGGCCAGTGGTCAAAAGTGGGTTTAGGAAGAGCCACGGTATTAGAGCCGAGGAAGACTTCGTCCCAAGACAGGGAGAGAAGAACCCTGTCGAGTTTGGACATAGTGGGTTGAGAGGAGTGGTCAGACCAGGTAAAAAGGCTACCCTGAAGAGGGATGTCCAGGAGTTCATTGCGAAAGATGAAGTCTGAAAAGTCTGACATTCCTTGCGAGATATTGGAGTTTGAGTTCTCTCAAACGACCACCTGGTGATATTGAAATCCCCCCCAAACTCCAAGAGCAGTGAGGGAGGGAGGCAACGAAATTGAGCTCGTCCCAGAGTGTTGGTTTGAGTGCCGCTGAGTTAGGACCATAGACAGCTGTGAATTTCCAAAGAAGTCCATCCAAGGTTCTAGAAAGGATAGCAGTAACAGAGAAATCCCCTATGAGAGAGGACACTAGGGAATGCTTTGAGGGGTCCCAGATACCTCGGAAGCACCAGATGCAGCCTGGGAAAGCCATTGGCAAGGTCTCCGTCCTCAAACCTGGCAAATGAGTTGAAGAGAGGGATCAAGTTGTTTTGTTTCCATTAAGGCTAAGATGGTAGGACTATGCTTGGCGCACATGTCCCACGTTGCATCACGTTTAAGATCTCGTCCCATACCCCGAACGTTCCATGAGATGATCTTCATAAGGAACCGAGGGGGTTGGGGATGGCCGCCAGCCAAGGGGACTTCCGAAGGTGGGGGTTGAGGATGGAGGGCTGATCTGAGACCACTGAGGGTGGTTCAATGAGGGCCCGTTTGTCATAATTAATGTTGGAGTAGAGGTTCAGGACCTCCCTGTAACCTTTGATCAACACCTTGAGTATGCTCTAAGTGTCTGCCTCGAAGAAGCGGTGAAAAAGGGGTTAGAGAGAAAAAGGTCATGGAGGAGAACAGGGTAGGGCTCCGGGGTAGAGGAAGCCGAAGAAACCGAAGGGGCAAAAGGGGTTCAGGAGGGAGGGGAGAGACCAGAGGCTCCAAAAGGGGGAAGTTAGAGGAAGAGGGTCAGCTAGCACTGGGTAAGGCGGCGTCGAAGACAGAGGATAGAGGGCAGAACGCAAAGAGGAAAGGTTGGAAGCGCAGGTGTTGAAGTGGGGGGGGGGAGGAGGAGAGGGTGCACCAAGGACTGCAGCAGGTTGGGGTTAGGCGGGAAAGGGCCAGATGGGGAGGGAAGAGGGGGGCGATAATGTAGTGGCCGGAAAATGGAGGGGGACGTGGTAGGGGAAAGCAGCAAAGGTCTGGTAAGGGTGTGGGGTGCCGAGGTCAAAACTCTAGGAACTAGGAGTGGACCGAGAGGAGCCGTAAAAGGCTGGCAGTTGGGAAAGAGCTCAATTCTACCATGACATATAGGAGTGAAGTTAGGAGTATAATGGAGGTAGGATGCCAAAAGGGACGCTAGAACTTCTAGGTCAAGAGGGATGGGGTCAAGGGAGGGCACCACAAGGATACCAGTAGGATAGTAGGGCCACTCCATGAAAGGAGAGGAGCTTGAGGGAAGGCCAGAAGTAGCAAGTGTGGGAGGTGTTGGGGAAAGGAGGGGATTGGAGACCCCAAGGGGGGGGGGGAGGACTTAGGGCCCCCACCAGCAAGAGAAGTGGGCAAGGGAGTAGGGGCAATAGGAATCTCGAATGGCAAAGGCTCAATCAGAGGTAAGGAGGTTTGGTAGGAGGAGAGCGGAAGCCGAGACAGGGGAGGTATAGTCACCGAGAGTGGTGGTGGTGCAGGGGCTGGACAAGAGGAGGTTAGGGGAATAAGGGGGGAAGGGAGAGAGGTGTTTCGTCGAAGGGTGGTAGAGCTGGGGTAGAGAGCTGGCAGCGTAGCTAAGCCATAGACGAGCACACCAGAGAAGGGAGGATGGAGGAAAAAGGTATGGGGGGGAGAGAAGGGAAAGGAAGAGGGTAAGGTGGATGAGGGAAAATCTCGAGGAGAGCAGAAGGGGATGGTGGATAAGTGTCCCCAAAAGGGTTGAGGTTTTGAGAGGGAAAAGGTGGGAGGGGTGAATCAATCGAGGCGGATGGGTGAGAGGTTACAAGTGTCACTAGAAGGGGAGAAGAAGAAACGACGGAGTTATGGGGCCAAACTAGGGTAATTGGGCCAGAGAGCCCAAAGGCATAGAGGAGGGGTCGGGAGGCGAGAGGCGAGAGGGGATAAAAGAGGAGATGAGCTGGGGTACCAGCGTTCCGTACGAGGCAGGGAACATGGTAGTAAATGACGAGGAGGCGTGATGAGGAGGGCTTGCCATCTCATTAAATGCGAACGGCTGAAGCGAAGATGGGGGGTCATCATCAACCATAATCTCCTTGCCCGAGCAAGAGGTGGAGCCGCCACGAAGCCGAGGTACAACAGAGGTGTAGCCTCCATGAAGCTAAGCTTCGGGGGCTGTCGTAACGAAGGAGGATACAAAGCAATCCTATCAGACGACAACACATCAAGGGTAGGGTTGCCACATGGGAGATTAGTGGGCGGGGTACAAATGTGGCCAGATGAGGGGGCAACATGTCCTGCACCGTGGTCGAGGAGGTTCAGCCGGGCATGCCACATTCTCTCGACGAGTATCTAACCTGCGGTGGGTGGATGCCTTGGGTGTTGCGCAAAAGCGGGCTTGGCCCCAGCTTGTTGGTGCCACCGCCGAGGTTGATGGCGTTTTCTGGTTACCACTCTCCAGGTTGAGTGGTTTGCCTTGTGGGAGGAGGCGACATCTACGAGAGTGAAGAAGTCAGGGGAGGGGAGGCGAGCCCTAGGACCAAGAAACCTAGATGCAAATGAACAAGTCATCCACCTCAAGCCAAAGAGAGGGAGGAATGAGACCAGGTTCCAAGGTTTCCAAGAGGAGGTAAAACAAGCCAAGGGGAAGGAACTCAAGAGATTTCCAATGTATCTCAACCAGGTGACTGCAGACTGCCGCAATTCTTCTAAAGATAATGGGGGACCAAGAATGAAGACGTAGGTTTGACACGATGACCCAGGCCCTCTGAGTCCTAAAAGAACCTATCATCGAAGACCATTCCCGAAGGATAAGCGCCCCCTTTAAAACTGAAAGAAGAGATCAAAAGAAGAGCTCGACAAGTACTCTCCTTCGATGAGAAGGTGAACAAGACGGACCCATTCGACTGGCACCGACATCCCAGGTTGGGCTCCTCCCAAACGCGCTGCCCCATTTTTTGATGGCTCTGAAGTCATCTCTCTTGAGGCGAAACGAGACCACCAGGGAAGAGCATAGTTTCGATTTGAGGGGATCTGAGACCTCGCTCGGGGTGGAGATCGTGACAAGGAGGTAGGGGGAACAGGGGCAAGGTGGAGGGGGGGGGTAACCTAGAAGGGGAAGTGTTTATAACGGGAGACGGGTTAGCAACAAACAAGGACTGAACCACTTGGACAAAGGTGGGCAGGATAGGAGCCAGCTGAACAAGCAAACCGGTGGCAGTGGGAAGAGAAGAACGAGGGGCAGCCGATACAGAAGGGTAGGAGGAGCAAGGAACTAGAACGGCGGGGTGCGAGTAGAGACTATAGATGCCACTCTAGTCTGATGGGGGCGCCACTTTCTCGGAGGTGGCCCCCTCATATCCAAAAACTCTCAATCACTCTTGGTGTTCAGAATGCCCCTATAATGCATTATACGGCCGCATTTGAGAACTATGAATATTAGTAGCAGGAGCAGTAAATTTGCATATACTATGTCAATAAATTCAAAATTTGGATTCCCAAGAATAACGTAGACAAATCATTGATAGAAAGTTAGTAGCAGTTCATTAAAAAAATCATTTAAGGATTTTGAGGCTACACATTACACACAATTCATTAGAAAATATTGCAACAGGTGCGCAGCATAACCATTTGGAGTGTAATTTCTTATAAACAAAAAAAGAAGGAAAAAAAGAGTTAAATTTCCATCGCAAATTCAAGTTTCAATCTACATATATTAAGAAACAGGTGTACAGCATCCAGATTTTCAAAATTCAAGCAACCATTTCTACGGCAGGTTTCTCTAAATTTCCATTATAAAAAGAAACATCAATGAAACTCACAAGCAACCTTCAGAATTGAGAGTGAATTCAACTAGACATGCCATCCACAAGAGAAAAACCTCAGAGTCCTCAGTCGAATATATTAACATACAATACTATCAAAAAATGCATCACACAAAATTAGTGATTGTTGGAATGATAACCATATCTAGTACCTCCAATTGAAAAATGAATAACGACAATAAAAAGGAAGTGCAAGCAATGTGATCTCCCATTTATCACACTCTTCATCAATACTCATAGGCAAGTAAAGTCAAATTCTCAAAGTCAGTTAACTAGACAGAGCAAAGGAGATAGTACAAGTATTTCAGACACAAGTACATTTCAATGAAGTATTGCATTGGTTCCTTCCACCATTCAGGAGCCAAAAAAATCATTATGGTCTATGAGGATATGTGGGTGGACCTGTCAAGAGACACAGGTTGTGAACCAGGAAAATGAAGATTTGCTCCTCCCTAAAAAAACAAAAAAGTATGAGTTGACTTCAACAAATTAATTTCCAAGAGAAGTAAAAATGCAGTAGAAAATACGCACCAGGTCATATCGTTAATCCTTTTAGAATCTACAACACAAAAAACAAAAAAAAATATACATTGCACGCTTCACATTATTTTCTCCCTTTCTTTCAAAACACATTGTCATAATCACTTAAATGAAACCTGGAGATGAAAATAAAGATAATGATAACCTGGGAGTGAATAATTTTTAATGCAACAAAACCAGGGACAGCAGTACTAGAGATCAAAATTATTATCAACAGCTAAATAAACTACAAATTCGCAAAAGATGCAACTGTAAGGGATCACACTTATTGCGTTCTGTTATTATTTTCTGAGTCTTTTTGCAGTCTAGATAGTCTACTTGGAGCAAGAAATATCTTTTTTTTTTAAGCTGTTAACTGTTGAATTGAAAAGAGGAAAAGTGTTGGAGCAAGAAATATCTTTGTATACATAGAGAAAATTCATCGATTAAAAAGTTATGTATCTTCCTAAAACGAATGAATCCCCAATATCCTTACCAATTCCAGTTTCGTAAAGCAGATTTTCTGCAATAATACTTGCTGATCTGTGGGGATTTCATCTCCTAATACATCATCATTTGTCATCACAGTATTTTCCATTTCCACTATCTGCAAACAATAATAAATTTTGAAATTAAAGACACTTCCCATAGACCATACAACAAAATAACACTGAGTTACCATTGTGCTGTGCAAAACTGCGTAAATAAATTCACCTACATGAATTTCACAATATTAACCTCTAATGACATAAGAATCATTACATTTTTAGACATGACACGATGAAATGACGAGGAAGACGGTATACGAAAAAGAAAGATGAGCAAATCAATCATCCACATCGTCCTTATGCTTCCATATGACAGTGGAGGAAAGATATGTACAAAAAAGATGCTACACATTGCACCATTCATAAAACTCTCAATTTCGCACTGCAGTATCACAGAAATAAGAAGACCATGAGAATGTGTAGCTTAAGAAAAGATATATCACATATGAGAGAGCAGAAATACAAGTGGAGCAATCCATTTAGGAGTTGCAACTATTGCAGATCTTTCAGCAACCCCAATCTGCAGAGGTTTCCATGTACTTTTGCATACATGGAAACCATTCTTATTACTCATTTAGTAAATGCTTGTTTATGCTTAAGTATATTGTTGAGCACACACAACAACAGAACAGTTTGTGAGCACACACAATAACAGAACAGTTTGTCAATCATATTACCACTTTGCAACAGTGTCTCCCAATAGAGTTGTCAATGTTAACTCCATCCCACAACGTTAGTATTGAAAAAAGCTGGTTTACCCTCCTAGAATCAAATAAGAAACCTTCCGGACTAATCATACATATAGTACTCATGTGAGTACAGGAGCAATAAAACTGATGGAGGACAAAATTATTTTTATTTTTTATTTTTATTTAATAAGAAGTGCAGATGAAACGTGCCCAACTCATAAATCGCAAATTGTTGCCCTTATTTTAGAAAGTGATGAAATAGATGTCGATAAAACCTCTAAAGACCAGAAAATTGGGTTTTCTACACGATTTTCAATAGGAGTTCAAGGACAGCCGTATTTGATAATTTTGCATTGATTCCTCAATAAACATATCAAGATCCATTTCTTGAGGAATTACTTTTATCAAGATTTCAGAAAACTGTCAAGGCACCTCTAACCGCACACCTAAACTTGGGAGCCCCATTCTGGGCGGATGTTCCTGGGCAGGTGCTCAAGCGATGCATCGGCAAGCGCCCAAGGACATGAGCCTTTTTTCGGTTTTTGACGATGCCTAAAAGGGCAAGGGGGTTTTTTTGTCCCCCAAAAAGGTTTAAATAGGTTATGGGGTTATTTTCAACCCCCTAAAGTTAAAAGAAGACTTCCATATGCCCTCAATCTTTTAGACACTTGGATATTAAACTTTTCACCTTTTTGGACTACTTTGTTGTTGGGTTTTACATTTTTATAAGTTTGTTCAAGACTTGGAGAGTGACTTGGAATCCATGTTATTATGAAATATGGATAGTTGGAGATTATTACTAATATTAGCTTATTAGACTTTTAAATTTTTAAAATTTTGCACGGTTTTGAATTTTGAACAAGTTTATTCTCAACATGCGCTAATGTCATATGTTTGTAAATAAAAAAGTATGTTATAATATTTTCAAATGCAATAAATTACAAAATTGACACAAATAGCATATGTGTATTTGGACAACATATATATGTATATTTTTTAAATTTATTTGAGCGCAAGGCCAGCCGCTTAGACACCGCCTAGCATTTTTTGAAACCTTGATTTTTACCACAAATAATATTTGAGCCAACAACGAAGAAGGTTGAAAAAGGTGGTTTTGATGCTGAATTTATCTTAGCACACTTCAAAACTCGAGGACAATTTTTTTTCAACCAGGGGAGAATGATGTGGGCAAATTATTTTTATTCAATTTTAAAAGATGTACATTATAGTCTTAGTTTTAGGATTTATTTCCAAGGGTTTTATTTTTTTAGAAATTCTAGGGTTTTTTTTATTTATTTCATGAGTACTATTCACAAGTACCATTCACAGAGGCAAAACTATCATTACGAATTTTAAGTTTAAGTTTGGACATATGAGTCGATGTATTATACGTTTGGACACTTTTTGTACTTGGAATATTAAATTGTAAATTGTAATATATAAGAGGTGTGTGAGATCTTGAGGGTTTAATTCCACATGATTTTTAGAAAATGAAAAGGAGAAAAGCTTAGGCTTTTGAAACCATAGCTTGAATGTGGAGAAGAAACCCTAGGTTGTTTTTTAAATTATGCTTGTGTTTGCTTTGTTTCTTGCTGATAAAACTACTTCCTCGAATTTCTCTACATCAAAAACCTCAGAGAAAAATACCCCACCCTCTACTTGAATGAGGAAATGGATTCACTAGCCAGCAACTGCCGCAGGCAGAGTGCTCCATGCTTCTAGTGAATTGCATTACCCCTTACTTGTAAGCTAGTACCATGGGGTTTCTCCCCTTTAGAGACTTCCACTTTGACCAACGAAGTTCAATCAATAATTAGTACCAGCCAGCCAAGGTTAAGACTTAATCACATGCGGCCTCTCATTGCATCCTCCCTTCCTTAAATAGAAGAGTAAAGGGAGAAATTCTTAGTCCACGGAAATCACCATCTGCTATATCATATTTGTTCTGCCTCTCAGGTACCACACTCAACCTAAGATTGAAACCCAATTAATACAGTAGTAACAGTACATTACTGTCCTTACTCAAAAGCCTTATACACTTCAAAGTAAAAAAATAACATACAAAGACTACCCCTCCTTGCATTCTCCCTTCCTTAAATAGAAGAGTAAAGGGAGAAATTCTTAGTCCACGGCAATCACCATCGGCCATATCATATTTGTTCTACCTTTCAGGTACCACACTCAACCTAATATAAAACCCAATTAATACAGTGGTAACAGTACCTTACTGTCCTTACTTAAAAGCCTTATACACTTCAAAGGAAAAAAATAACATACAAAGACTACCCCTCCATTGCTCAGTAGTCCTCCAGGAAAGGCTCTCCTCACATATGCCTTTTGTGGTGCTTCGGATGCAAGGACCTCGAACTTAGGCCTCGAGAGTCATGAACACAATTCTCATTGCAGCCAGGGGAGAACGTTGAGTATTCATTATGTAAAATTAAACACATAGAAAGCCCACAACACTCTTTAACATCAAGTCCAACTAGAGACATTCAAAATCACTCTGTAAACCTAAGGAACAGTCCATCAGTCATATCTTATTGCAATAAAAACTTAAATAGTCTACAAACCAACCTAAACCTTGACCAACCTAATCAAAGAATTTTAAAAAACAAAGTGTACTGATAAAACCAATATATTCCAAGCCTTACAACACCTGTTGGCAGAGTTGTCTCCATGATGTTCCACTCATCTAGGAATCCGATTGATTAGTAATTCAACCGACGACTCTGGGCATTAAAGCAAGCCCTCCACTACAGTGAACATTGACTTGTGAATCGTGCCATTGCTCCGTGGTGTTCGCTTATGCATTGATGACTACTGAATGCGTGCTTGCAGCAATAAGCTGCCTCAATGCAACGAATCATTTTCGCACACCTCAATGTTATGAGTTTGCAACTGCTACTATCACCACACCCATGAGTTTAGAAGAATAGTTCTCTAGACGAAAAATGCCTGCGTAGTTCATGCACTACTTTAGTCCAATGAAAGTGCATGAGTACTCATCACGAAGTCCTACTACATCTAAGAGAGAAAGTCATTTCCATTCTTATATGCAATCACCTTTAATAAGATAGACATTTCATACCTAATTAACTAGACTATGGAAGATGAACTTTCTTCGCTACTATAACCTTAGTGTAGCCTTCACAATTTGAAAGATCGTTGGCATCTACAAGATTACCATCTCCAATAGACGCATAGGACTTTAGCCATTTCTATGGGGCCTGGCTGTCAATCGAAATCCAACATATAATCAGTAGAGAACCTTCATAACGTTTCATAGACTGAATTTGTCCATTTCTTAGATGACTTTTTTTGAAATCTTCAATCAAGGTCTAATGCTGGGTTTTTGAGAATCATTAGAGTAATTCCATTTCCACAATGCTGAGGAACGAGGCAAAGCTACAAAGTCACATGCTAAGCTGAAACTACGGTACGGAAACCCCATATAGGCTTTAGTCTACATTATGGAGCACAGCATCGTTAGCAGGAGAGATTGCAAATCCTTTGTGCATGCTTGCTGAGGAAAAGCAAGACATACTTAAGAATTGCACATGTTTGCTGAGGACAAGCAACTAAGTAATAAGTAGTGAATTCCTGCCGATCAAGTGCAAACAGCATTACATAATAATCAGCCCATCGCATACAGCCATATCGCAACATGAAAGCGTCCAGAAATGAAAGAAACTCCTTTCGCTCAGCCTGTCATTCATAGAACTGGTGTGAAGGGAACCAATTGGCAATTAGAAAAGAGTTAGCGGGAAGCATGATTTACTCCCCCCCCCCTTCCCTTCCTCTGTCCTAGAGTGGCATGTGTCCATTCAAAGTAGAGGCCTTCCAGGTAGGAATGGATTTCACTTTATTTAGAGAGAAATATAGAGGCGGGATATATAGGCTCTTCAACTCATATATAAGACTTTTTTCTTTTAAACGATGGGGGCAATAGGAGTTTTGGTCTCAAAACACACTTTTTTTATATAGCAAAAGGAATAGATTTCTTAATGCCACAAGGATCAAGCTCTCATCCTTATTGAGGGCAGAATTTCAAATTGAATTGCAGGAATTAGTCTCGGCCTATCGATTATTTCCAATGCTCCGATGTTAGTTAAGTAGCGAAGACAAGCTTTATTTCCCACTTAACTTTGAATTGATTTTATCAATTCCAAACTTGTCCTTGCTCTGACACACTTTTGCAATGTTTCAAAAAGTGCCAGGTAGACCTAGGCAGCCGGGGGGGTCCAAGCCCCAACGCTTAGGCAGGCGCCAAGAACCTGGGTGGCCCAGTAGAAAGAAAAATATTAGTCTAAGTGTCTAAGTCTAACAATATAACCATATAACACATAATCCATAATCCATATTTCCAT